CGGGCGTTATCTCCAGGCTTTATTTTACATACGACTCATGCATAAGGACAAGAAGACTGGTTTCATAAGGGTTATTAATGGAGCATTGAAGCTAACTAACCAACTACACCATAGTTAGATGAGAAGGCAGGAGAGAGACAGAGAGGGAGAATCGGCCCCCAATCCCTCATGATGGATGGATGGGTGGTTTCTTTCCGTTCTGGAACAAAGGTCTAGAGCTCGGGATCTTGGTTTGGGATAGGCATAATGGACCGCCTGTTATTACATTCCGTCGGGATGCGGGCAGATCAGGCAGCTAGGTACGGAGTACGGAGTCGGGATCTAGGCAGAAGCTGGAGATATACTACACTACTTGCTGCGATATGGGGGTGGCTTGGTCTTCTCTTGAAGGGAGAGGGGATCTCACAGGTGATGATGATATTAAACTATGGTCACCGGTAATCTATTTGGAACCAAGTAAAGCTCCCAGATCCATGCATCAAGCTGCATACAACTGACGATCACAGAAACTCCGCGCCAGCCTCAATGCTTCCCCCCCTCTACCCCTACCTCCATGGTCTGACTAGATGATACTTCGAATCCCATTATGATCATGGATCAATGATATGTATCCCACACCCCTTTCCTTTATTCGAAAACCCTAGACCAAAATTAGAAGAAACAAAAAAAAACCTTTTGTATACTCGTCCAAGTTCCAATTTACGGAGATGGACACTAAATCCCCACAAAATAGATTAAAGCCCGCGCCAGACCGCAAAGCAGATCGTGTTTGTTGGGAAAATCTTGGGCCCTCCCGGGAAGAGGGGTCCTCTTGTTTGTTTGTAACAGATTAATTCTGTCCAGTTTGCTTTTTGCAATCGAAGGTTGGAGAAACATTCTGGTTTGTTTCAAGAATCGATCCTCATGTACATAATTTCCTGGAAGCTGAAAGGAAGGCGGGATTGCGGCTTCTTTTTTGGTCTGTTTCCCCCGCCCCTTCGTGTCTAAAAAGCCCGTATATGTGTGTGTTATGTGTGTGGGTGCGTGGGTGGAGATCAGTTTCAGCTGTCAGGCTGAGCTTCGATCTTGTCTACGGGCAATTTGGATAGATGATATTAAGCAAGCAATTTAACACAACTACCCAATAAACACCCGTCAATCAAACTGGCCAGCGGTTTCTTTAATCTTAAATTCATATAGTCCATGACGAGTATAGGTTATATTTCGTGACAAAGAGCTTGCAGGGAAGGGGTCTGTTGAGGAGAGTAGGGAAGAAGAAATGTACAGTACATTGGTACATAGTAAAAGTTGACTGGTACAGAAAAAACAGTATTTACGTACGGGTAGGTGTACGTACTGGGATTCGGTTCCTGATGTTCAGCAAATCGTGGAACGGTTTTTCTTCCTTTCCACCGGGTGATCCACTGGCAAGCAGCATCAATCAGCCTCGTTCTTGTTCTTGTCCACTGCGTTTGATTGTTCGGATTGTCGGGGGTCCATTGGAGGAGAGGACTGTACACAGTAAGAACGGTGGTTTGTGGACAAAATCAGAAGTCGAGTCACGATGATAACGACCCACCAGTTCCACCACCACCACCCCAAGCCCTCTAGAACTAAACCTAATCAGGTAGCTTGACTAGTAAGGAAGTGAACTTCACACGATTCATTCGTCACAATGGAGTTGCAAGTGGATGAAGAATGAACCTGGCAAATACGTCACGTTGGGCAGGCTGTTGGAGAATTGAAAAAGGGAGAAAAAAAAAACATTCTTTGCGGTGTTGATTTATTCCTAAACAGGGAAAGTGCAACGCTAATGCTCATGAATTCCAAATCAACAGCAGCTGTGAGGATCGGCGGTAAGTAGCGTAGCCCCATCTCTTGGCTGTGCAGACTAACTTACTTGTACTGAGTAAATTAATCCCAGATTTTTTTCTTCTACAGTAGGAATTGAATTGTTTGGAAAGTAAAGAAAAAGTGAACTTAACCCTATCGTCATCTTCCACTTATTGTGGTGCACTCCCTAGATAATTATTCAATCGTCACGGGTCGAACCTTCCTAAATAGCATTGTTTCGGTTGCTATATCTGAACCTGTTCGTTTTATTGTTCGAAACAGGGAACAGGATTCCACTTCACGACTCATGGAGAATGCTCTTTTCCCTCCCCCACGATGAATCCTTTCCTCAGTCAAGATCCCACTCCTGCTCCGTCGATTCTGCTCCACTAGGGTTTTTATATAGCACCTGGTGTAACAAACAAGGGATAACGGTCCCAGTCTGGGGTGTATACTCATCCACTTATGTGTATACATACATGGGGCACGAACAACCCTGTGTAACAACTAATGTCCATCCATTCATATTCTTATAGATGAAGCACTGACATCCAATAACTGCACTGGTCATGTGTACAGTACAGTGTACGGAGTAGGAAAAGAAGCATTCGATAACGGCCCAGACCTAAAGGCAAACTGCGGCGAATCGAGAGTAAGCGGGGATTAGCGGCCGGGGGTGGGTTGAGATTTGAAGAGTGGTGCGCGGGAATATCGTAGATCATCGCATTTGTGTTTGATTGAACCCGAGCGCCTGGAGAGAACGTAACCTCGTAGCGGAAGCGATACCCGTAACATGCATAACAGAAAAATATGTACACATATACTGTACATACATACATACATACATGGCCTCAAGGCTAAACCGGTAGGAACGTTTGTTTGAGACAGTCTCAGTGACAGAACAAAGTGACCTACCTAGCATCACATCGATAGGGTTTTCCAGGTACACAGTTCCAAGCTTACTTACCTAGAGCTCAGCGGACTGGGCTGGAACGGGCAAGAAAAAACCGGGCAAGGTCCCCGGGAGATTCAATGCAGACTGGTTGGCATACAGCTCCGGGCTCTATAGCCTAGTCTATAACCAACATGCCAGGTTCCCGCTCCCCAGCTTAGGGAGAGAGAGAGAACAGATAGGTGAGGGGGGGGGGGGGTAAGCAGAGGTGAAAAAAAGTCCAGAAATTCATGAGTCAGGCAGGGTGCTTCCATGATTAGTATGCAGTCAGCGAATGGGGAATGGGTGTTTTAAGGGGATGTGGCCTTTGTGTTGCTCGTAGCGTAGTGGCGAGTCAGGCAGATAGTCCACAGTGGTAGGGAGCCATCCTTGATCCATCATGACCGTATCCAGAAGAGGATGCTAGGTAATGCGGACAGCCTACTGGTTAGAGCTAGGCCAGTGGGTGGTGGCACATGAGAGCCGAGTCCGAGGGAGACATTCCTGCGGCGCGATGGATTCCTTTGCCTATTCTTCGTTCCCCCTCCTCCTCTCCTCCTTATGGTTGCTTCCCCTTGACGTCGCTCATGCGATGGCTCCACCGAGACAGGGATTGACGGTTGGGACGTTTCTTGAGCCGTGACAAGAGAGGACGGGGGTAAAGTTAACGTGGTCCGCTAAGGTGCTTTTTTAGATTTACTTTCCTCCAAAGGCTGCTGGTGAAAAACAAAATAGGATCTCCTGCAGCCACTTGTGAATCACCGGTGGACAAGTCTGCAGTTCGCTCCATCCGTTACAAGGCCGAGGCCGATGCCTCTTTCTACCGTTAGCGACGGCTGCAAACGCGCAATGAGATAGAGAGAGAGAGGGGAAAAAAACAAGGAGAAAGGAGGAAGGAAAGATGGTCAAGGAGGGGCACTGGCGAATCATGCAAGCCTTTATCCCCCCTCCAAAGTCAATCACAGTTCGGCCAGCCTGAGTGTCCCTGGATAAACTTTCTCTGGGTTATCAACCTTACCTACCAGTAAGTTACCTCCCGAGCATCCTGACTGGGGCCAACCCACTCACACACACCCACATCTACTCTGCAGACTGGTAGGTAAAGGAAGCGGGTGTCAACATCCGGCCATTGGTAGTCGAGCCATGCATGAACCACCCACTGCATCCATTCTGAGGGGATGAGAGGAGGTTCCATACTAGGGAGGAAGAAGGATGGTTGTCAGCTGCGCTTCTCAATAGACCTATCGATCCTCAGCTCCATGCGCAAGACTGTGTATGCGAGAAGGTGTTACAGTACAGTCTACCTGGATTGCTTTTGCTTCGTCTTCTTCGTCGTGTTTTGTGTTCTGTGGGTTTTTCTTTTTTCCAGGTTCATGATGCGTGTTTCTTGATCCAGACTTTGAATCCCTGGACTGCTCGGCCCATTTTGCTTTGACTCGTCCGTGTCTGTTCTGTCTGCCTCGTTCGTCTTCTTCGCCTCCTCGTAACTTGTGCGCCGCCCCTTGCGCGCAACCGCGTGAGCCCATGGCCGTTGACTGGCGAAGAATGGGCTGATGACAGCCAGCCACCTGGATGATGGATAAGCTGTCTGTCGCGGGAACCGGACAACTTCCCCCTTCTGATTTGTTCCCAGTCTGCTCTCCTTCAAATATGATGAATCGGTTCGGGCAAAATCATCCGAGGATACGCGATGCTCTGAGTGGATATGTGGACGGTACATGATTCCAAGTCAAGAGAATATTAAGGTATTATTAAGGTGTAATAATAATAGTAATAATGCTCTTCCCGCGCGTGACAAAATATTGTAATAAACCAAAAACAACCAATGGGGTATTACCAAATCCAAGCTCACAAAATGGCCGAAAGAATTAGAACCGACATATACAAAACACATTCCTTCGACATTGGCCCGCTCTATACCCAGAAGTGCGCACCATAGTTAAAAGGTCATCAGTAGACAAAGGAGAGATCAAACAGAAAAAGAAACACCAGATGTTCTCCCGAATACTTTTCTCGTACCGTAAGAAAAACGGTTCGGTCGCTTGCCACGTGACCCGCCGTGGAGATAGCCCGAACCATAGATGAAAACAATGTACATGGTATGAATACAAAGGAAAAAATAGGGAAACGATCAGGAAAGAGTGACAAGGGTCGGTCAGAGCTCTCAAGTATACAGAGAAATGGCTGGAGATATCGTGGCGAAGTAGAAGGAGTCATGCAATCGTTCTCAGCAGGTCAACGAAAGGACCACCGTAAATCAGTTGAGCAGATTTTGCAGACCCATGCGGGAATCACGTGGCGAGTCGGTCTTATCTTCTGAAGCGACAGACCAGGTAGGTGATGATAACGAAGATGGTCGGTTCCACGGCTGGTAGTCGGAAGTCCATCGTTGCTTGAAAGACAGATCTGAAAGGGGTTCCAGCGTTTTGATGCCGTAGTAGGGCTTGGGGAGGTAGCTTTCGTCGGTTGTTTGGAAGGATGATGCGCTTTGTCTGCGAGCATCGCCATAGAGGTGTCTCACAGTCAGCGGCACAGGGAGAAGTTGAGGAGAGGCGACGGTTCTGGGCGAGGAAGAGACCGAGTTGTGATCCGAGACCATCGATGGTGGCTCCATTGAGGGGGCATCTGAGTAGGTGGGCGAAGTCAAAGGCGTTTCCACTGGGCGGTTGAGGGCGGGAAGGGTAAAGATGGGCGTCAACTGCCGAGGGCAGTTGATCGAAGATGCTGAGAAGGATTCCCGGCGGGAAGAGGGAGACTTGATCCAGGAGGAAATCGGTCTCTCGCTGGAGATAGAGGAGTAGCGGGATCGGCTAATGGGGCTGCTCAGGGCCAAAGAAGTGCGTGCATAGGGAGCTTCGATCCGTCCGTGAAGAGTGCGTCCGGAATGAGGAGATGTGGGCAGGCCTCGTCTCTTGCGGTTCATGCTGCCATTCCACCAGTTCTTGACCGCATTGTCGCTACGATTCCCCAGGCGCCGGGCAATCTCAGCCCACCGCTTGCCCATCTCATTCACCATGCGCTCAATCATCAAGCCTTCTTCAGCCGAAATTGGCTCGCGATTCAATGAGGGCTTCAGGTTCTGGTGGAATCGCTCCCGGCATTGCTTGGGAGAACGATAGTGCATGTGCTGAGAAATACGAACCCAGTTGTTGGGGCCTTGTTCGCGAACCAACTGTAGGAGTAGCTGATCCTCCTCTGGGACCCAGGGTCCACGACGATGAGTAGGTGCCATTGTGGATGGAAATGAAACTGCAAGGGGCGGCTGAACCGTGGAGAGCAAGATTCAAGATTGAGTTTCTGTGAGATGAAGATTAGACTTCTGGCACAGTAGATGATCGGAGGGAATAAGGGAAAGAAAAAACAGGAATGATAACAGTTGGACACCATCGATGTAGACACAAAGGGTGTTGAAGAAGGGAAGCGGGCAGATACTGTTGGAGATAATGTATGGGCGGGTGGGGCACGACTGAAGAGTGAAATAGCCAAGGGCGTCTTACCGTGGGGTTGTTTCCGGAGTGTAAGTCCAGTACTACCACTAGTAGTCGGCAGGCAAGTAGGTAGCAGGTATGTGGTAAGGTACTGTAGTGCACAAGGCAGGACTAACACCAGCTGAAAGGGTAGGCAAGAAGTAAGGCGCAATGACCACAGATCCAAGCAGCTGGGTGATGCAAGCAGTAGATCGAGAGTCGAGGGACTTGGAAATTGGTTTGTTCAAGGGAATAAGGTTCGAAGGTGCGTCCCTGGGGATGGTAGATATAGGATGAGAGGTAAAGTGAGACCCGACGGGACTTTAAGAGATGTTGACAAGGACAGTTTAACAATAGTCAAGTAAAGGAGGGATGGAGATGGAAAGGTTACGATCTTCTATTATAGCAACAAGCAGCAACAGAAGGATACAATGACCAGGGAGACGGGTCAGAGAAAAATGGGTTACTGCTCCACACCAGCACGCTATAGGAGAAGATCTGATCCAAGATCTCGGAGCTGACAGTTGTCGGAGGAATGTTATTTTTTATTTTTTATTTTTCTATTTTCTGACAAAAAAAAAGATTGTCAAAAAATAAAGGTGGTTGTTATTAATCTCGAGGTTAGTGTAATTATTTATTTTTTCTATTTTTCTTCATTCCTTACCATACCACGGAAATATGACCTGTATGTATGTATGGTAATTGAAAGAAGCAGTACACTTCAAATATGGAAGGGTACGATACGTACGGCTAACCGACTGATGCTCAACAGTACGTTACTGCTAGGCACACCAAAGAGGCTAGACAGATCGATTGTGCCCCCTCCCCCCCCCGTCTGTCACCAAACATCATTCCTGTCTACAATTAACCATTCTCAACCAAGCACACTTACTTACCTAACCACAATCACAAAGAAGCGATCAGATTACCATCACCATTAATTGAACATGGGCTCAACCGATCTCATCTCCTCTCCTTAATCTAGCGCTGAAGACGGACGCATTCTGCAGTATCTTCTTTCGGTAAAATCGGACCCATCATTGACAGGGAAGCGAAACAACCACGCGGCTGAAAAAGCAAGCAAGGCAGCTATCAGCTGCTGCAGCTGGCGTTTCTGGGTCGTGGGGCAAGATTTGCCACTATTCCCGGACACTGACGGGCTTTACCACAGGATCGGTGTTGCAGCAGGGATATTAGAGGTGCCAGTCGCTGGCCCGAGTGAGGCACAGCTGTAGTAGCTCCATTCAGCTTCTGTTCTATTTTGAACCTTTGCTTTTTCGTGTTTCCGCTCACTTGTTGCACTGCTTAGGTCTATCATCAACCGACCGACTCGTTATGTCAGAGACAGAGACAGTTTGAGACGTCGTCCAGGGGAAGCCAGCCAGTTGCTCACCTATATCTGAGGCAAGGCTAGGCTGACCTTCAGAGTGCTGCTATAGTTGGTAGAGGAGCCACCATCCAGATCTTTGGGAGCTATTCTAATTGCAATGCTTTTGCTGCGAGCAATGTGTTCTGGGGCGTTTACTTGCATGGGGCACCCTGGTAATATGATCTTCACTAGTGCTATATAAGTTCCAGGATGATAATGTAACTCCATTCAGAGCACTAGCGCCATATATCCTACGCACCCTCTCTCTCCCTCTCTATCCCCCTTCTGCGATAGTCCTAAAGATTCGAGAAGATATGGCGGAAAGGATACGGAGTAGCTTAGCTTGATTTGTTTCTTGTGACCTAAAATGAATTAAGACTTTACACAATTGATCACTTTTTTTTGTGTTTGCATTTCCCCACACTCGTAGCAGTGTTGATATCGAAGTATATACAAGCCAGAGAATCAGGTGGTGGACTTCCCGCTCTCATGGCGACCTGTAGTCATAAGCGATCTGTAGACCGAGGCGAACTAACCGCCGCAGCTTGACCCATGCCTATGTTAAGTTCAGGCGGCCCTGACAGGAGCAACGGGTGCGGCAAAAACGGCGAGGTGTAGGTAAATGCGTAGGTAAATGCGAGGAAGGGGGTCATACACGTCGAATGCAGAATTTCATGGATCCTGCGGGGCGGGCTCCTTCGGGGACCATGATAACAAACCACAAACGACAAACGACAAGAGCGGAGGAAGGAGCTGGCAGGGAACAGGGAAGTAGGTAAAAATAAATCAAGGGAATGGAAGCCAAAACCATCTTCGCTTCCTGCCATGTCCCCTTCCGCCCGCATGGTGGAAGATGGTGTGTTGAAACTTGAAGGTGTTGACTGTTGAGCTGCTGCGCCGACATCACGGGCAGCGCGCTCGCTCATTCAGGACTTATTCTAGGCACAAGAGACAGGAATTGAACCAGGAGAGAGACTCGAATCAAGATGGATCCACCACACTAATGATATTGGGCAGTGACAGATCGGGCTATGTATGAGAAAGGTCTTCTTACTACGTACTCTACTGAGGACAAAAATCAAGAGTACTTACTAAAAGTACTTTGTACCTGACAGACTGAAATTCGTCACGAGGGATTGTGCCATGGTTGCTCTCTTACATTTAGAATTAATCTATTAAGTTACTTCCCTTTATTAGTTAATCAACGAAGCCCGGTCTAGCTTCTTTTACCTTCTTTAGTAGAGAGGGAGGGTGAGGAATGGCGGCTACAGATTATTACACATCAATACCACGTTAGAATGGAAGGTGCATGATTCCCTAAGAGGAAATCTCAGCTTGCTGCGGTGGTGGTGGTGGTGATTCTCCGTCTCAGCCAGCCATGAGATGTTGAAACTGATCGAATTCCGCTACAATTAATCTAGTCTAATTACTATTATTTCCTCCCGCTCCGACTTGACCTCTCCACTTCTCCAACTCCTCCTACTCCGTCCTCTTCTCCTCTCCCCCCCCCCGTGGACCGTTATCCAGAACATGACCTCGAACTGTTTTAAAGTGGGGCTCTGTGATTGGCGCAGGCCAACCTGCAACAATTTGGAATCTTTTCAAGGTTGATTTGGTCTTATACCTGTTCGGGATGAGATCGGCATTGAGATCGCGCACAATCTCGATCATGGATGGTTTCTGGGACGGATACTCCGTACCTCTCGGGGACCATTCGTCTACCAGTCAGTCAGTCACCTGCAGGCCCAGGCATGACCGTCTGTCCGTACTTACTACGTACATGTGTACTTACTATACGGAGTACGGAGTGTACTGTACCTTACTCTGTACTCTTGTCTTCAGCGGCACATTCTTAGTCATGCTTCCAAGTTTGACATAACCCTCCGTCCTCCTTAACCAGGTACTTGGTAAGTATGCCGCTCGACCACCCCCTGGTTTCAACGGTGTGTCCGCTGCTCCCGAATAGTCAGTATTTATTACGCACAGCTGCCAGCCTGCCAGTAAGCTTCTCGACCCGAATCCCGCCGTGCCAAACACACGGGACAGAATCCCATCCCTTCGGTCCCATTAGTGTTTGATTGTCACAGTTGCGCTGACTAAATTCCACGCTCTTAGTAATTAACTAACTAATTTATCCTCTCGGCACATCGCCCTTTCATCGCTGGAGTTCTTTTCCGATGCAGGCGCATAGCACACTCCCACGGGGAGGTTCGAGCACCGCCTGAATGCATCCATTCAGGGGCACAGTCGATGGGGAAGCGGGCTAATTGCAATATCGCACATGCCACCAGCGAATCTCAAAAAACGCCCCCTCCCCTTCCAACGAAAAGAGGAAAAAGGAAGGAAAAAAAAAAAAAGAAAAACCAATATTTCCGGCGGTTTCAGTCCAATCAACGAGTCAGATCCAAGATACTGACTCACGTTTTGCTGCAGGGTTCTTTTTTTTCCGGGTCCATTAGCTTTTCGGACATGTTCGCTTGTATCGCATATGCAGTAGAAGGATGATAGATCTCATCGAACAATCCAGGATTTCCCCTATTTGGACCCCCTGGATCGAGCGCGGTAGACATATATACGGCGAGATCGGTTGGCTCCTAAGCATGATGGCGAATGACTTGCCGTCTCAAGACTAGCTTTGATCAATTCTGCAGGTTGCTGCGAAGGACATTCGCAGATACGCTCCCAGCAGTGACCACAGGTGGTTAGGGATACTACCCTATCCCATCCACTATCGCCAGCCTAGGAGACGTAAACCGGCGACTAGTATACGGGGACTACGATCGCCCGGGGAAGTCGGAAGATTTGGAATCGGTCATAGGGAACGGAAGTACCACAGCTAAGCCAGTCAGGAAATGTCGCCTACTCACCGGAGGTGCTTCTAAATCATGCGGCGGCGCCTGTCCCGCTGTCATACTGACGGGACGACGAAGCTAACGTCAACCCTCTTTTGCAACTATGGTCCACTAGTACCTCGCTTCTCAGAACATCTTGGGTGATGATGGAATCTTATAAGCAAAGGATTGTCCGATCGAGATCTATCATGACCGCCATTGGCCGATCTGAAGTGATCGAAGCTTGCAAGGCGATAGTGATCCTTGGTCGTGGGATGGAAGCGGAGAAAGGTGGGTATGGTGAGTCGATCTTATCCAGATCATCGTGCTGTTATCAACTCATCATCATTATTGTCATCGACAATCATGAGTAATCATGAGGTAGTCGGCAAAAGTAACGAGCGATCGTTGCTCTTCTCTGTTCGCGTGGTTTCAGATTACACGGTGCATCACCCACTCCCCCGGCCATAGAGTGGCCCCGAGAATTCCTTTTTCCCCAGCCTTATTTCGGTAAACTCTTAACGCGGGTGCAACCCAACCAAGAGAAATGAAGAAAGAGAAAATT